GCGGCTGATCCAGCCGCGTGTTTTCCTGAATCCATGTTTCTGCGTAGCTGACCTTGCGCAAGAAGCCCTCCGTGCTCCCCTTGCCCACGCCCTGGCTTGGGTGCCTCCCCCAGGTGGCATGCAGCCCGGGTCGGCCCCCGTGTTTGCTCAGCGGTGGGGTGGCATCGGCAAGCATCACGAGATTGCCGGACACTCCCTGTGCCCTTGAATCGTTCCCCCTTCTCCCCCCGAGACTTGGTGCACCAAAGCGCTGCCCTTCATGGCCAGGCCGATGCCCTGCAGCTCCAACACCCAACCCGGGGTTACAAGCAGCTTGGCCAAACCTCCTGTGCCACCTCTTGTCCCAGGCTCTGCCCCAAACGCTGAGCTCCCTGGGGGAGGGAGAGCATCTCCCGGGCCATGGGATGATGGCCCTCCTCCCCATGGCAGAGTTTCCCCAGCAGCCGGTGGTTCTGCCAAAGCGGGGTGAGCTCTGGGAGGCACCGGGGTGCTTTGGACACGTTTGGTGCTGCTTGTCACACTAGCTGGATCTTAAACCCTGATGGCACCCAGCAGGTCTTGGAGTGCATGCTGGTGCAGCGCTGCCTGTCTGGGGGCAGCCAGACCTCCAGGGCCTGAATCTCTCTGGCTAAAACATTGCTTCAAAGGATGAAGCTCAGCTTATGACCCCTCCATTCCCACCAGCACCTCTGAGGAGCCAGGGACATCAGGGCCCTGAAATGGTCCCTGAATGATGCCAGAGTTAAGACGAGGCAGAGCCTGAGACCAGATTCCTATCTGGTCAAAATTAGGAGGATCTTGGCAAGGAACCTGAGCAGTTGCAGGATCACAGCCATGACTTAATGAAAAGGGCCAATGTTTCTGCGCTGCTGACCACAGCCAAGGGCTGGAGCTGTAACTTCTCATTCCTATCACCCATTCCAGGTGGCCACAACCCTGACAGCACCTTCCCTACTTAGCAATACAGACTTATCCCACCACGGCAGCTTAGCAAGACTTAAATAGAACATTCAGGCTGATGATGCAGTGCAGGAGCAGAAAGAAGAGATAAAGTTCAACCTGGTGATAGCCACTTAGTGAAAAATAAGAGAGCTGGTGGCAACAACACAACAAGCTCCAGATGGTCCGGCAGCAAGAAGCGTAGCCCAGTGAAATGCCAGACCATCAATATAAAAACAGCACGTCACTGTAAGGAAATGGTGAAAAGCACGGAGTCACCTGGTGCTGAATTAAATACCTGGTGGTAAAACCCTCAAAAGTTACCTTTGGAAGCAGAGAAGAGGTGCAATTTCTTAGAATCATAGAATCTTTGGGTTGGAAGGGACCTTTTAAGGTCATCTAGTCCAACCCCCCTGCAATAAGCACAGACATCTTCAAACAGATCAGGTTGCTCAGAGCCCCATTCAACCTGACCTGGAATGTTTCCAGGAATAGGGAAAAAAAAGGTAACATTGGTATCGTAAATGGAACAGGCAATAACAGAAGAATCTCTGGATACAGATTATTTGATCCGCTGGTTTTTAGGATGATGGGTTAACGAAATGTGTGCGTGAGCAATGAGTGTATGTGATAGCTTTAAGATGCAGGAGATCAGATGGTTTGGAGGCATTTGCACATTCCAGAAACTGGTTGTCCAGCAAGTGAATTATACAAAGAGCCACCCACATTCAAATGCCAGGAACAGGTCGATCATTTGCACTTCAGGTTTATTACCAAATCCAGGGGTGAATTATTCTTTTCATTCAACACTAAGCATCTTTGTTCATGTTTTCACTACCTCACTAGGAGTTTTCATAGGTTGCTCATTCAAACTCTTCTGCTGAGGAACTGACAGCGGGTGAAAAAATCCAGACTGAAAATTAGGGAGAACTGCAGACCAACACCAGCTCCACATGAGAACAGCGGATGGTCAGACACATCTCTTCCATCCGAGATGGAGACCTCGACAGGACTGCAAAGTGATGACCATGTTGTTGGCGATACCTATTAGGAACTGCATTACAAGGATGTAACTCAGGTCATCAAATAGTCACCCTATGAGACAAGGGTCTCAGAGCTTGGAGCTCTACAGGGGCAGGTGAAGGTTAGGGCACACCAGCACTGCTCCTTGCCTGAGGTCAACACTTGTCTGTGTGCCCAAAAGCATGTCTTCTCTTCCCTGACAGACCTGTCAGGTGGGTCTCACCTCTTTCTGCAGTCCTCACCAGGGATATGGACACACCATCACAGTATAAACAACAGGTCTACTGTGCCCCTCACACAGGTTGACACTCAAACGGTGACCACACAGTCTCATCCAACCAATTCACCAGCATCTTCAGTGATGGAGGAGCCCGTCGAACCACAACCCTATGGCAAAACATCTCTGTTTTTCCCTGGACTTGCCAAGAGACATGACAAGCCCCAAAGGACAGAGATGGGTCACCTGAAGGAGCTGAAGGAGCTGTTCCCATGAGAAAGAGAAGGTAAGAGGCAGGGACAGGGAGGAACACCAACTAGATAAAGCAGTGTGTTCCAGCTGCTGTGGGAACACATGACCCAAAATGGGAACTGAATGGCACAAAGAAATGCTGATTGACAGCTCTTTAGGTGCAGCTGAATGGTGTCTGCGTGCTGTCACCTGCTCTAACGACTGTCTGACTCACGCATCAGAGGCAGGTGCCCAGCAGCCTAGCAATTAGCCACCCTCCTCCGTAAAGTCAAGGGGAGAGTTAAAACCAGCACAGTACAGAGAAGAGTGTCCCCCACGGAGCCTGAATCAAGTCTCACTTTAGAAACAGCCCATAAAAAGTGACAGAAATGAACCTCTCGGCTCAGCCCCACGCGAAGGACGCAGCATCCTGTACCTCCTGCTCAGCTCAGTCAACGCCTATAAATACCACCAGCCTCCCTGCAGGGACCTGCTCGGCGGGACCTGGGCTCCCCCCGGGCTCCTTCGTACATTCCAGCATCAACGCCCAAGCCGGGATCTATTCCTGACAGTAGGAACAAAGCGAGCAATTGCATTTTAGAGCAAACAGTCAATATTCCACGTGTCTAAATGGTTACCAGCATTCTCATTTCATATATAAATAGCCTAGGTTTGCTTTTTGAAAGAAATTGTTTTAAAAAGAAAATTGCCTTCCCAGTCATCCTCAGCCCATAACTGTTGAGCAGGGGGGCTAATTTTGAATGAAAAATTAAATTATGCATTTTCTCTAAGCCAACCCAGGAAGAAAAACTCATGACTGTGGCTGGCATTATTAGCCCCACGATCCTTTGTGCTGGTGGAGGGATTTAAACACAGCGGCAGCAGTTTGCTGAAGCAGAGGGGGCATCATCCTCCATCACCCAGGCTCGACCACACGCCATCTCAAGCCGCCTTCCACCCGTAGGTCAGTCACACCAGAGCCCTGTGTCTTCCCCCTCTCCCAGCTTCACAGCGGTCCCAGCCCTGACATCAGATTTCTGTCTCTCTTCCTCCAAATTCCTCCAGTTGCCAGCCCAGGCTCTCAGCCAACGCTCCAGCTTCCCTTCCCTCTGGCTGATGTCAACCATGCTTCCTCCTTCAGGAATAAAGCCTCATCCCGCGTAAGCGTCCATCTTTAAGGCATTACAAAGACCATGTGCCTGTCACTCAGTGCCCTCGACATATTGTCTCCAGTTGCATTAAAATCAAATTAAGGACACCAACTAATGAAAAACCAAGGCAGAAAGGTGCCATCTAAAAGAGAGAGTGAAACCCTGCTGTGTTTATTAACACAGAATAATGCAATTTTTCCCCTAAGATCTGGCTCAAAAAGGAGGGCTGCACACAGGCTTGGACACCCATCTGAGCACGCCGAGGGGCTGGGAGCCACCGCCAGCCCGGCACAGGATGGTTCCTGGGACCTCTTCTCCTCACCCTGCCCGCAGGGTGCGGGACCCCATGCTCTGTCCTTCCTTGAACTTCCCACCTCCTGTGCAGAGCTCAGGACCACGGGGGCAATGAACCAGCGGCGTGTGCAGGGCTTAGGGAAGGAGGGTGTTCACAGGTCCCAGCTTCGGCCCAGGCCCAGTTTTTCCAGGCCCGAGCCCCACCCCCAGCTCAGACCCAGACACAAACCTGGCCTAGTCCAGACCAAGGCACAGGCACAGGCCATGGCCCAAGCTCGGGGGAAAGCCTGGTCCAGACCCTGGTGCAGACCCAGTCCAGGCCCTGGCGCAGGCCCAGGCCCAAGCTCAGGGGAAGGCCCAGGCGCAGGCCCTGGCCCAGGCT